TTCGGATCCCACATACAGACCGGCCGCTCACGGGCTGAGCGGGTAGCGGGGGCAACACCGAGGGCTGCGATCCCGCTGCCGGTCCTGGTCCAGTACGGGCGCGACACTGAGGGTTGCGATCCGTTGCCAGTCACGAAAAAAAAGACAAAAAGACAAAAAAAAAAAAAAAAAGAATCTTGTTTTAAATGTGCTGCATGCACCACATATTATTTATTAATTTTTTTTTTTTTCCTGCAACTGGCCAGTCTGGGGATCTGACCCTTGACCTTGGCGTTACAGTGCTGTGCTCTGACCAGCTGAGCCAACTGGCCAGCCCCTATCTACAGTCTGAGAAGCAGAACCCTCTGTATTTTTATGACTTAACTCTTGTACAGTTTTCTCACCCACTTAACTTGATAGCAGTTTTTAAGCAGTTTGTTTTTATTTTTATTTATTTTTGTTCTTGGGGGGTTGGGGGGACTGGACTGGTCAGTATAGGGGTCCAAACCCTTGACCTTGTTTTATAATGCCATGCTCTAACCAACTGAGCCAACCAGCCAGCCTGTTTTTATTTTATTATCCAAAGCTTTCAACTTAGTTTTCGAAGAAACAACTTTTTTTATTCCTGTTTTATTATATGTAATACTAAATTGCCGTAACTAAGATCGTAAGTACAACTCACATGAACAGTTTTGGGATTTGCCACGGCTGCCTCTTGGTAAGCCTGCAGCCTGGTGGTGGAACAGGAGTGCACAGTGAGCCTGTCGGCGTGTTTCAGCCTGTGTAGGCCACTGTGTTGTATGGAGGAGGCTGAGCCTGGTGAATCACAGAGGGCAGGTCTCTCTGCTGGTGCCTTTTTGGGGTTATGGGCCCTGTGAGCGCCTGACAGAAGCCATGGGTTCTTTTCTCAGGAAGGTTTGCATGCCACGCAGTCAGTTTGCAGACCTTTCAAGTCCTCTCCAGGTGTTGGACCAGGCTGAGAGCCAGTATAGGTGAGGCTTCTGTGACACCCGGGCGATCACAGTAGCTTCCTGCTCCCATCAGCTCCTCCCTACAAGGTGGGCCTACCGCACAGTTTGTTCTGAGCAGCAAAAACTGCCAACCACCGTGAGCATGGGGGTTGGAGCCAGGAGGGCTTGCATCTGTGTTAGAATTTCGTGGGTGTTGGGGCTAGAAAGCCTGTGAGTGGGATGGAGGTGCAGCCGCACTGCCGTGGGCTCCCTGTGGACACTCTGCTGGCAGCAAGCCAGGCTGCTGTTCCAGTCTATTCAGTCAGGTTTTGGGGTGGATGCTTCTGTTTGCTTTGCAGAATTTCTTTTTTAGGCATAATTATAATCCATAAAATGAAAACAGATGTGTTAAAAGGCATGAATTGATGATTTTAGACCTTAAGCCAGAATAGAAGAGACAGGTCACAGAAGGGAAAGCAGGTGCCGGGAACATGAATGTTGCCCAGTCTTGTGATGTAAGGATGTTTCCACCCTTCAGGCCAGCACAGTGCTAAGCGTGGCAGAGCTCACTGTGACCAGAGGTGGAGAGGCAGGCTGGTTCATTCCTGGTGGGAGTGTGTTTTGGTATCCTTTGACAGTAATCATCATAGTAAACATTCAGACCCTTTGATCCAGCAAGTCTACCCGTGGGAGCTTTTCCTGCAGAGATAACCTGTTCACCTGAATGGGTATAGGGAGGGCTTTCATTTCTATATTATGTCCATAATGTTTGAACTTTGTGTGGTGAACTTGTGTTAATTTTGAAGCAGAAAAATTGACCTCAGGCTTTAAGAGTGGTGTGTTTGATGGGTTCTTGTTAGTCATCATAGAAGTCACCTGCTTAAGAAAACATTCCTAGTCAGACCGAAGTAGAAAACAGGACTCCAACCTCCATGCACCTCCTGTTGCCCTTTAAAATTCTGTTTTCTGTTTCAGGGAGCCATGCTCACGGGTCCTCCTGGTACTGGCAAAACCCTTCTTGCCAAAGCGACAGCAGGGGAGGCCAGTGTGCCCTTCATCACTGTGAATGGGTCGGAGTTCCTGGAGATGTTTGTCGGTGTGGGGCCAGCAAGGGTAGGTGGGTGGGAGGCCAGCTGTGGAAGGTCAGAGTGTGCTTCTCGATAGGACTGGCTGACTTGGACAGCTGCAGGCCTATGTGGGGCCCTCATGGGAGGGGGCTATTAGGTTTGGCAAGACGGAGAAAAGGGAGAGAGAGAGACCCGAGCCAGGCGCCATTTCAGCCAAAAAGCTTTATTCCACTAACGTGGAGGGGAGACTGAGCCAGATCAGTTCCCCTGAACAAAGGAAAGCAGGGGTTTTTAAGCCTTTGAGGGTTCTGGCAGAATAATGGGCAACTTTGAAATCAGTGGTATGCAAGGTGACACAGCCCTCGTGGTCTGCTAACACCTGGTCATTTAGGGCATAGGCTTCTAATTAGTGTGGCCCCTATATCAGCGCAAAGTGCTCCAGCCCGAAGCTGGCTACCACAGCCCACAAGATGTTCCTTTGATGATAACGGTCATGTTCACCCCTTCCCAGGAGAGGAATTTCGCTGCTCAGTTCCTGGAGCAGAAAAGGGAAAGGGGAGGGGAAGAAGGGGGAAGGTTGCTTTAACCTGGCTGTGCTGATGTTAAGCCAGCCATGAGGCCTCGTAGGGGCAAGTTTCAGAATGAGGGCTGAGGATAAACTGTCTTTTCTGTCTTTGTACCAGTAACAAAATACACTCTTTATGTGGATTCCTGTTTCAGGTTCGTGACATGTTTGCAATGGCCCGAAAAAATGCTCCTTGTATCTTATTCATTGATGAGATTGATGCAATTGGTAGGAAGCGAGGCCGGGGACACTTTGGAGGCCAAAGCGAGCAAGAGAATACCTTGAACCAGATGCTCGTGGAGATGGATGGTGAGTGGACGCTCTGCGGCAGGCCTGCAGTGTTGGCACCGCCCTTCCCCAGCCTTTTCTCTATAATGACCCTCATTGGAAGTGAATCCTTGATCATTTTGTGTTTAAGGAAGGCTGCTCTCGGACATCATGGGGAAAGCTGTGTTAGATCCACACAGTGCCCCCCAGTGCCCCATGATAGGACACGTGCAGGCACGCACTGGCCTCAGGTGGAGGGGGATTAGCTGGGTGAGGAGGTGCCTGCTTCTTTGGGGAAGTAGACCAGGTACATGAGTGTTGGCTCCTGACGGTGCCACAGGGTGGTGTGGAGACAGCTCATGCCCTTCCACCTTGAGCCTTTGGGGGCTGCCCTCCCTTACCCAGAATCTCATAGACACCCAGGACTTCTTCCTCCCAAAGTGATTCTAGCTAAGCTATGACCCACAGCCTGCCAGTTTTGAATTTGGAGAAGCTATCGTTGGATCTCTGGCAGTTTTTATCTTCACTTTAGCTTTAGGGCCATGTGTTAGGGTCTCTAAGACCACCCCAGATTCCTTGATTTGGTAGGAGGAGTACAGGTCTCAGCACAGGGTTGGACTTGCAGCTGTGATTTATTACAGTGAAAGGACAGAGCAAAGCCAGCCAGGGGGAGATTGGGTCCAGCTCCCAGAGTCCTTTCCCAAGGGAATCACGTGGGGTGTGCTGATTTCCCAGCAATGAGTGTGTCGGCACGTGCAAGCACTGTCAACCAGGGAAGCTGGCGAGAGACTTGCTGCTCAGGGATGGCTCCTCTGCCTGGCACATACCCAGATTCCATACACCAGGGGGAAAGCTGGTGTTCCACATAAACTATGTTGTTTGCATAGTGTGTGCCCAGGAAGCTCTCTTATCAGAGAGTGGTGGGAATACTCCCAAACTGCAGCTCCCAGCCGAGGGCCTAGTTGTAAGCACACCTTTCTGAGGACAGTGGCCAGAGCTGCTGTGTTAACTCTTTTCTGCATAGGTTGAAAACATTTCCAAAATCTTTTATTGTCTTTAGTATCCAATAGTAATTCCAAATAGATCATTACTCTGTTCTATCTTGAGGGACTGACTGGAGAGGAAAGGGAGCAGGGTGTCTGCTCTTCCTCCTCTTACCTCCCCCTTTGCTGGGCATCCTGTTCTCCGCACAGCCCCTTACTGCAAGCCTCCCAGGACCTCAGTGCATGGATACCTCCACTACCATGGTGGGGCACCATGTGGTGTCAGAGGCTGGCAGGAACCAGGGTCAGGAGACCATGCTCTGGGACTTGACTCTCCAGGGCCAGGCTGTGGAGTTCCCAGTTAGCCAGGGAATATCTGGTTACCTGCTGGTGGGTGGTAACGTATCTCAGCTGAAGCAGTGGGGCCTGTAAGAACTGTGGGAACCAGAGGGGAAGCCTTCATGAAGGGTTCCTTCCTGCAGAGGCTTAGCAGGGAGCGGAGCCAGCAGAAGTGGAGCAGAGTCAGTGTAGGCTGACCCGGGGTGGGCGTCAGCTCTAGACAGGGACAGGGGTGCAGGTGGGGCCCTAGGGTGTGCTTTCTGTGGAGTCACCTGCTTTTCACGTGTCTAGGGTTCAACTCTACCACTAATGTTGTCGTGCTGGCCGGCACCAACCGCCCTGACATCCTTGACCCTGCCCTGATGCGGCCTGGCCGGTTTGACCGCCAGATTTACATTGGTAAGTGCTCTGGTCCTTTGGGTACGCAGGTTTGGTCCTTCATCCCCTTGGGGTTAAAAGTTTGGTCATTTGCTGTTTGTTTGGAGGAGATTTTGATGGGGACCCTCAAGCAATTAATGTAACATCTTGGAAAAGTGGAGACACTTGTGCCCCAGGTTGCTGCTGGGGGCTGTGTTTGGGCAATCCACTTCTCTGGAATAACCTATGTGGTTGGGCCTGCGAGACTGTCGCCGCAGTGCATATAGGTGGGAATGATGCCACAGATTTTTATCATCCAGCTTTTGTTTTTCATTCGGTGTTATAACACTTGACAGTTTAGAGGACAAGAATGTACCTTTTACCCTTCACCCTGAGAACCAGCCACTGTCCTCTTCTCCTGTCCTTTCCCATTTGTTAGAAAGCACTGATCTTGTGTGGACATCTCCTGCTGCCTAGGGCAGTCGTTGTTGCGCTCATTGTTGGGTTGCATGGCCCCTGGGGATGGATTTAATACTGGCCAAACACAGTTAGTGGGGAGATGTTTTAATGCACTGAAGAGCCAGATGCAGGTGCGCCTTGTTTCTGCCATTGCTCCTGGCCCCGTCCAATGACCACGGCAGGGAGTTCCTGGCACCCCAGGCTGTCCTGGCAGTTCTGGGAAGGCCCAGAGAACAAAAGAACTTGTCTCTTTTTTTGTTAGGCCCCCCTGATATCAAAGGTAGGTCCTCCATCTTCAAGGTCCACCTGCATCCCCTGAAGTTGGACAAGAGCGTCAGTAAGGATGCCCTGGCAAGGAAGCTGGCAGTGCTCACCCCGGGCTTCACTGGTGAGTTGCTGGCTGTGCCGCTTGTCTGGGGCAGGAACCGAGCCCGCTCAGCTCTTTGTGGTTGGCAAGTGGTTACTGGTGTTGCCCATTTGGTCCTGGCAGTGATCACCCTTGTCTGTAGAACTTGGAGCCTGTTGGGACATCTCAGAGCCCTCAGAGATCTTTTTTCTTAACCCCCAAGCTAATTAGTGTCCATTTGGATTTCTGTTTTAATTCTGTTCAGACTTAAACTGCAGAGACCTAAATGGACTGTGAGGAGAAATCTGCTTAAGTGACGATTCATGTTGTATTTTGGTCCTGGTCTTGAGCTCCCACCTGAGGAGGGGTTTCCTTTGCTTGTCTCTCTTGTTGTTAATTAAAACTGGATGTTTTGTACTAGGAAACTTCCTGCCCTTCCAGGGTGGTCTGAACTCCAGCAGTGGGTGGGGATTTTTCCAGAGGCTTCCTGACTAACTTAACCCCGTTTCAGCAGCTCTTTGGAAGCCTCAGTGCCTCATGGTTACTATGGCAAGCTGTTGACCAGGGCCCCTGACCCACACCCACCTGCCCTGCCACCACTGGAACTTTCTACTGTGGAGTCTCATCCCCTCCAGTCACCTCGGGCTCCCCAGCATCCAGGCCAGTGGTGGGGACAGGTGTGCTCACACAGGAGTGTACCTTTGCTGCAGGGTGCTCCTCAGGCTGGCACATGTAAGGCCTTATCTGTCACATGCCCTGAATGTGCTTCCTGCCTCTTGTTCTCTCCTGCTGTGGACTTCAGGTGTTCACTTACACACCAAAGTTAAGAAACTGGAATAAATTACACAGACTTTGGTTTTCCCTGCCCCTCAGCATGGATGACTCAGTGGGGATGACTCAGCACTGCCCCTCAGCAGGGATGACTCTACAGGGATGACCCGGCACTGCCACTCAGTGTTGATGACTACATGGCAATGACTCAGCACTGGCCAGAACTCACTCTGGACCAGTCCTGTGGGGACCTGAGGAGGCCACTTTGTCAAACTGCCTCCCCCTCTCAGGTTACTCTTATGGGTTCTGCTGTGCTAAGGGTAGAGGCAGACACAGCCTCTGTGTCAAGATGCTAGGCTCAGAGAATTGCATCCCCATTCTAAGACACACGGGGGAATTTGTGGAATTCCTATAGTAAAAGAACTGTTGACTCATTTTGAAAAGCCACAGAAATAATTATCAGTTGTGTAATCCCAACATTCTACTCTTGAGAACCTCCTCTCCACATGCACTGTACGCCCCTGTGGAGGAGATTCAGCCATTTTACGCCTGTGTGGTCCCTCGGAATATGGGCAGTTTAAAATTCACTTTTATTGTCTCTGCCCATTTTGTTGAGAAAAATGAAAGAAAGAAGGCATTTAAAAACTTGGCAAATGATTCAATAGAAAGGTATAAAGTAGGCAAAGAAACAGGTAAGTATGGTCTATTCACAGGGAGAAAAAGAAATGAACAGAAGCTGTCCAGAGGCTGCACAGACATTGGACATACTAAACAAAGTCTTAAAATCAACTCAAAGATTTATATGCTCAAAGATCCTAAAGGAACCATGGGCACAGAACCAAAGGAAACCAGGAGAAGTGTTTGTCTCAACAACAGAGAAGGATAATAAGGGGAAAAGTACTATGTACGACTGAAAGAAAAATTCATTAGAGGGGTTTAACAGCAGATTTGAATGGACAAAAGAACAGCGAACTTGTAGACAGATCAAATGAAATTTTCTAGTCTAAGGAGCAGAAAGAAAAAAGAATGAGGAAAAGTGAACAGAGCCAGAGGGACCTGAGGGGCCCCACCAGGCAGACCAACGTGTGCTTCATGGGAGTTCCAGAAGGAGAGGATGGAGAGCAGGGAGCACAAGGGGTAGTTGAAGAAATTATGGTTCAGAACTTCCCAAATTGGATAAAAGACCTGAATTTAAACATTCGAGAAGCTCAGCAAACTCCAAGTAGGAATGAATTTAGAGATCCACAGTGAAACATTCTAATTCAACCGCCAAAAGCCAAAGATAACCTTGAAAGCAGCGAGAGAGAAGGGACACATAACATATAAGGGATCCTCAGTAAGATGAAAAACTGATTTCCCATTAGAAACCACAAAGGCCAGAAGGCACTGATGACATGTTCAATGAGCTGAAAGAAAAACACTCCACCAAGAATTCTGTGTCTGGCAAAACTATCCTTCAAGAGTGAAGGAGGGGGCCGGCCCTGGCTCACTCAGGAGAGCATGGTGCTGTTAACATCAAGGCCACGGGTTCGGATCCTATATAGGGATGGCCTGTTAGCTCACTGCGTGAGCATGGTGCTGACAACAACAAGCCAAGGGTTAAGATCCCCTTACTGGTCATCTTTTAAAAAAAAAAAAAAAAAGTGAAGGGGGGCTGGCTGGTTACTCAGTTGGTTAGAGCATGGTGCTGATAACACCTGAGGTCTGGTGTTCTGATGGTCCCTATACTGGCCAGCAAAAACCCAAAAACCAAAAAACCCCACAAACCCCAAATAACCCAATTTAAAAATGGGCAAAGGAATTGAATAGGGATTTCTCAAAGGAAGTTGCACAAATAGCAAACACATGAAAAAATTCTCAACATCACTAAGCATCAGGGAAATGCAAATCAAAACCACACTGAGATAACATCTCAGTTCAGATAGACTGGCTATTATAGAAAGACAGAGACTAACAAGTCCCGGTGAAGATGTGTGAAAAGAGGAACTCTTCTACACTGTTGCTGGGACTATAAATTAATGCAATCGTTATGGAAAATGGCATGGAGGTTTCTCAGACAATTACAGATAGAACTGCCATATGATCCAGCAATCCCACTGCTGGGTAAATACCCAAAGGAATGGAGATTATGTTGAAGAGATACCTGCACTCCCATGTTTATCGCAGCTCTATTCACAATAGCCAAAATATGGAACTGACCTAAATGTCCATCAATGGACGATGACTGGATAAGGAAAATGTGGTATATGTACACAATGAAATACTACTCGGCCATAAAAAAGAATGAAATTCTGCCATTTGCAGCAACATGGATGAACTTGGAGAAGATTAAGTGAAATAAGCCAGGGACAGAAAGAAATTCTGCATGTCCTCACTCATAAGTGGAAGCTAAGGGAGAAAGAAGGAAGGAAAGATAGATCACAATAATACATTAAATTTTCATTAGGAGAGAACAGATGTATGGTCACTAGAGGTGGGAAAGTGGGAAAGGGGAGTGGGAGGGGGGTTGGGAGAAATTTGGTAATGTACACAACAGTTACGGTTTGTAATGAACATGCTTGTGATACTGATTTGATCATCACATGTTGTACAGAAACACTGGTAGTCAACTCTGTACCCCATCAATTATGTTTCAAGAGTAAAACAAAAAAAAAAAAAAAAAAAAAAAGAGAGAGAGAGGAATTAAGACATTCCAGATTGAAAAGAAGCTTAAGGACTTTATTACTAGACCTGCCCTATAAGAAATGCTAGGAGTCCTTAAGGCCGAAATGACAGGACACTTGATGGTAACTCGAAGCCCTGCAAAGAGATAAGAATGCTGGCATAGGTGACTCAGGTAAATGTAAAAGCCAGGATGATTGTGTTTTTGGTTTGTAAATTTTTGTTAAACTATATAATTTAAAAGACAAGTATATAAAACTCGTTCTAAATCTGTATTGATGGAACGTCAATACAGATGTTGTCTTTATACAACTGTATAAAGATGTAATCTGTGACAATAACAACCTAAAGGGGAAGGGAAGGAGATTATTTAGGAGTAGAGTGTGTGTATTGTTAAAGCCACAAATAGAAATGCTGATTTTAAACTCCAAGTGGAAGAGCAGGGGCTCCAAACAGCCACAGCAGTCGTGTGAACAGGGACAGAGTCAGAGGATCCACACGTCTGTGCTTGAGCATGTACCTCAGAGGTGCAGTGAACACAGCAGTGTGGCACTGACACCAGGGTGGACATGCAGACCCGTGCAGCAGAGTTGAAAGTCCAGATAGAAGCCTGTACAACTGTGGTCAGTCGATCCCCCACCCCCGCCCTACAAAAGAAGCTTAAGGACTTTATTACTAGACCTGCCCTATAAGAAATGCTAGGAGTCCTTAAGGCCGAAATGACAGGACACTTGATGGTAACTCGAAGCCCTGCAAAGAGATAAGAATGCTGGCATAGGTGACTCAGGTAAATGTAAAAGCCAGGATGATTGTGTTTTTGGTTTGTAAATTTTTGTTAAACTATATAATTTAAAAGACAAGTATATAAAACTCGTTCTAAATCTGTATTGATGGAACGTCAATACAGATGTTGTCTTTATACAACTGTATAAAGATGTAATCTGTGACAATAACAACCTAAAGGGGAAGGGAAGGAGATTATTTAGGAGTAGAGTGTGTGTATTGTTAAAGCCACAAATAGAAATGCTGATTTTAAACTCCAAGTGGAAGAGCAGGGGCTCCAAACAGCCACAGCAGTCGTGTGAACAGGGACAGAGTCAGAGGATCCACACGTCTGTGCTTGAGCATGTACCTCAGAGGTGCAGTGAACACAGCAGTGTGGCACTGACACCAGGGTGGACATGCAGACCCGTGCAGCAGAGTTGAAAGTCCAGATAGAAGCCTGTACAACTGTGGTCAGTCGATCCCCCACCCCCGCCCTACAATGTTACCAAGACTGTTCAGTGGGGGAAAGAATAGGCTTTTTAACAAATGGTGCTGGGACAACTGGATATTCACATGCCAAAGAATGAAACTGGTCCTTTACCTCACACCATATGTAAAAAATAACTCAAAATGGGTAAAAGACCTAAAGTAAAGAGTTAAGGTTATAAACTTTTAAAAGAAAACACAGAGGTGGATCTTTGTCACCTTGGATCTGTCAATAGTTTCTTAACTGTGACACCGAAAGCACAAGCAGCAAATGAAAAAAATGGGTAAATTGGCCTTCACCAAGATTAAAATTTTGTGTATCAAAGGACACTATCGAGAGTGAAAAGACAGCACACAGAATGGAAATCATGTATCAGACAAGGGTCTAGTATCCAGACTACATAAAGAACTATTATAACTCAGCAACAGAAAGAACCCAGTTTAAAAATGGGCAAAAGATTTGAATACGTTTCTTCAAAGAAGATATACAGATGGCCAAAAAGCACGTGAAGATGCTCAGTGTTATTTGTCATTAGGGAAATGTGAATCAAAACAACAGTGAGCTACTGCCTCACACATGCCAAGATGGCTGTAATCAAAAGACAGCTGGTGAGGAGGTGGGGACAAGAATCTGTGTATGTTGCTGAAGGGAATAAACCATGCTGCAGCCACTGTAGAAAGCAGTTCGGCAGGTTTTCAAGAAATGAAACAGTTACCACGTGACCCAGCAATTCCACTCCTAGGTGTATACCCAAGAGAGTGGAGAACAAATGTCGCACAGACATGTACACGGATATCCATGACAGTGCTATTTGTAACAGCCTAAAAGTGGAAACACCCCTGATGTCTGCCAGTGGATGAGTGGATAAACAAAATGTGGCATATACTGTAATAGACACCATTTGGTTGTAAGAAGGAATGGAGTACTGACGCATGCCACAACGTGGATAAACCTATGTCACCTCCCACAGAGTGACGGAGATGCAAAAGATTACTCAGAGCCCATGTATTCAGAGCAATGAGAAGCCCAAAGGGACTGCACCAAGGAAAACTCCTTCAAGAGAGGGGAGCCCAGGCACAGCCTTGAGTCAGTTTTTGCTTCAGTTTTTATTATAAGGAGAAGAAAGTTACAGAAGAAAAACAGGTCGTTAATCAATTGTAGTGAAAACATAAACTGGCTACGTGACAATCTTCATTAAAGTATGTGTAATTTAATGTCGTTCAAGCAATTTACCATCAAAAAGAGTCAAAACAGCTATGTTATGTACAAAAAGAAACAGAAACAATGAGATAATCACCAAAGTGCCTAACTCCCCAAGAAACTCAAACTGCTTGGGGCAAGATGTGGAACATCCCTCAAGCACCAACTAGCAGAATATCCTTGAAGATTTTAGCTCACATACTTTCCCATCATTTAGGTTTAGCTGCACCAAGGGCAACTGCCCCCAGAGCAATCACTTTTCACTGTGCTTTCTTTTTTTTTTCCTTTTTGTCTTTTTTCGTGTCCGGCAACGGATTGCAACCCTCAGTGTCGCGCCCGTACCAGACCGGACCGGCAACGGGATCGCAAGCCTTGGTGTTGCGCCCGCACCTCGCTCAGCCAGTGAGCAGGAACCGGTCTGTATGTGGGATCCGAACCCTTGGCGGGAGCGCCGCCGCACTCCCAACCGGCACACTGTAGCAGTGTGCCACCGGGCCGGCCCCAAGTCAAGCTTTTTCTTATGCATGGAATTGCCTTCCCCATCCTGGTGAGATCCTACACATCCTTCAAGACACAGCTTAACTGTCCCTTCCTTTATGACATCTCTCCCCTTTCCCCTGAGAACAATCACTCCCTTCCTCCTCTGAAATCACATAGCAGCATAGTTACAGTGCGCCACCGGGCCGGCCCCTCACTGTGCTTTCAATCCTCTTATCTACATCAAAGGCTTTAGTCCTGTGAGAGTTTTCTGGTCTTTCTCAATCTTAGCATTTCTATGTGTTTTACTAAAAGGTTGGGCTTTGGCCCCGTAAACTAGAGGCTTTGGCTTTCTAAACTAAGGAGTTTGGTCCTCTGAACTACATTTGTTTTATTTCTATCTCATTACTAACTTCTTAGTCAATATCCTCTACAAACCTAGGAAAATATGCTGAGTGAGGGAAGCCAGACACCAAAGGCCATGTGTTGTATGATTCCATTTACATGAAATGTCCAGAATAGGCAAATCCATAGAGACAGAGAGCAGATTAGTGGTTGGCTGGGGGTGGAAATGGGAATTAACTGTAAATAGGCACAGGGTATCTTACAGAGATGACAGAAAATGTCCAGAACTAGATTATGGCAATAATTGCACAACTTGAAAAGTTTACAAAAGATCTCTGATGTGTACACTTTGAAAGGGTGAGATTTATGGCATGTAAACTGCACTTGAGTAGAGCTGTCTGACAGAAGCCTGGCTGAGGGTGTGGCTGACAAAGCAGTGCCTGCACCTCGAGGTTGTCTGCTGAGGTTCAGCCCGGCCTCCCTGCGGGTTCTCCTCTAATAAAACTGATGGGGTCGAACTCCAGCAGCTGGGAGCACTGACTGTCGACTGTCTTTTCCGGGGTCAGGTGCACATATTTCCAACGTCTGCAATGAGGCAGCCCTGATTGCTGCCCGCTACCTGAGCTCTTGCGTTCGGGAGGAGCACTTTGAGCAGGCCATCGAGAGAGTCATTGGAGGTGAGCTGGCAGCCTCAGGAGGGAGGGGCGTTTCCAGCTCTGATCACGGCAGGCTCCTCTTGGGCTCCAGCCTCGCTTCTGCATCCAGGAATGTGACTAATTTTCTAAACCAAAATTTAGGACTTAGTATCTTCAACAGTTTTTGTGCCCCTTCTGGGAGAACTTCAAGGGGATCAGAGGGCCTGAGGAAACAGATTAGAGCCAGGTTTGGATGCCGGCAGCAAGTCCTCCCAGGAAGGGAGGGGGAGGGGCCAGAACAAATGGGTTTCCTGGGAAAAGCCTAGTGGAAGCTGCAGGAACCATCCCTGGGATCCCGTTGCCTGGCCTCTTGGGACTGTTGCTGTGAAAGGTTAGTATGTTTTCTTCAATGCAGCCATCTGGGCAGTAGTTTGAGTCCCACAGCACCCCCTGTAGCTTGGGGCAACTCAGAACTTCTTAGCCGCTGAGGAGCCTGGGGAAATGGAGGCAGCTGTGGATTAGGGTCTCCCAGGGTTGCTAGATCATGGGATGCCGGATGCTGCAAGGCATGTCTGTTTGTCCCTGGTGCTGTTCCTAGGGATGGGGATGAGAGAGTGGCCGTAACCCCGCAACTATGAGAGCCCACATCAGCTAGGTGCAGTGGTTCTTGCTGCTTCATCTGTATTCAACTTTTTATTGGAGTATAGCATACAGAAAGTGCATATGATACGGACTAGCCCAAAGCAGACACTCCCAGGGCCTCTCGAGGGCTGTCCTGGGAGCTCTGGGGGTGGATTTCTGCAGAGTGGCTGGTCTGAGCAGGGCCAGGTGGAAAGTCTGTCTTGGCACACACCGTCCTCTGTGCCTCCTCTTTGCCCTGATACCTGCTTGGATCTGTGCTGTTGGGTTGTTGAGAATCGCCTCTCTTTGCTGTGCTGCTAATTAGTCCAGCCACAGAAACTGACGAGTACCTCCCTGTGGCTCATATGCAGCTATTTTTGTTGGCTTAAAATGGGCCTTCTGAAGTCCATGTGTGAGGTGCATGGGGTGGGATGCCATCCTCAGAGCTGGGGCCTTTCTGCCCTCTGGCATGGAGGAGGGGTGATGTGCAGTGGTGCCTGCTGCACCGTGCTGGTGGTGGGAGTGAGGAGTCGGCCCCCACTTCCCAGCTGCCCATTCCTCCCATGCCTCTTACTCATCCGGGAATGTGATTTACAGGCCTTGAGAAGAAGACCCAGGTCCTGCAGCCCAGCGAGAAGGAGACTGTGGCCTACCACGAGGCTGGGCATGCGGTGGTGGGCTGGTTCCTGGAGCATGCGGACCCCCTGCTGAAGGTCGGTCTCTCGCCCCCAAGCCAGTCTGCCTGCCTGACCAGAGCCCCCTTTAGGCCCGGGCATCCGCCCCACTGTGTAGCTGTCCCAGTGCCAATGTGTGGGCACAGGACGTTCAAGGTGGTACCCTTTGACTTTTCAGGGAACGTACTAGCCTAATTTGTCAAAACATTCCTTGTGGGGTGGGAAGGCAGAGGAGGGGGTGTTGGTTTCAGGTGGGGGACCTCGGCAACCTGACTCTAGAGAATCTTTGATGTTAGGCTCGCTTTGCTCCCAGGGGGTGGATCTTCATGATCAGAGGACCCTCCACAGGCAGGATGGAGATGATCACCACATTAGCCTCCTGAGCTGTAGCCCCTGGATGTGGGGTGTGCTTCTCAGGGTGCCCCACTCCCAGGGGGTGGATCTTCATGATCAGAGGACCCTCCACAGGCAGGATGGAGATGATCTCCACATTAGCCTCCTGAGCTGTAGCCCCTGGATGTGGGGTGTGCTTCTCAGGGTGCCCCACTGGTGGGTGGTGGGGCCCTGGGTGCTGTCTGTTTCCCACACTCTGGTGAAGGGACCGATGGCCAGAGCTGGGGTGAGGTCGGTCTTGGAGCTCCAGGGGCAGCAGCTGTGGGGGGACAGTGTGGGGAGTGACAGGGCACGTCTCCTGTCTCGCAGGTGTCCATCATCCCCCGGGGCAAGGGGCTCAGCTATGCCCAGTACCTGCCCCGGGAGCAGCACCTCTACACACAGGAGCAGCTCTTTGACCGCATGTGCATGATGCTGGGGGGCAGGGTGGCTGAACAGCTCTTCTTTGGGCGCATCACCACGGGGGCCCAGGACGATCTGAGGAAGGTCACCCAGAGTGCCTACGCCCAGGTAAGGGGCAGGTGTCCTCTTGCACAACATCAGGTGGCTGCGTCAGGCACACGCTCACCCTCAGCTCCTTGTGCACTTCCAGATCGTGCAGTTTGGGATGAGTGAGAAGCTGGGCCAGGTGTCCTTCGATTTCCCCCGACAAGGCGAGGCCCTGGTGGAGAAGCCGTACAGTGAAGCCACCGCCCAGCTCATTGACGAGGAGGTTCGGCACCTCATCAACTCCGCCTACACACGGACCCTGGACCTGCTGACGCGGTGCCGGACACAGGTGGAGAAGGTGAGCGGGGCCTTGCCTGGAATGGCAGGTCGTGGTCAGGCTATGTCGTCCTCGTGGCCTGCTCAGGTTTGGGGCCGGCCATTGGCAGTGCCTGTTAAGCACAGCCCTGCCTTGGGAAGGTGTGAGCGGATCCCTCAGAGCAGCCTGACGGGGGCGCTGTCCTTTTTAGGTGGGCAAGCGGCTCCTGGAGAAGGAGGTGCTGGACAAGGCCGACATCGTGGCCTGCTCAGGTTTGGGGCCGGCCATTGGCAGTGCCTGTTAAGCACAGCCCTGCCTTGGGAAGGTGTGAGCAGATCCCTCAGAGCAGCCTGACGGGGACGCTGTCCTTTTTAGGTGGGCAAGCGGCTCCTGGAGAAGGAGGTGCTGGACAAGGCCGACATGGTGCACCTGCTGGGCCCGCGGCCCTTTGCAGAGAAGTCCACGTACGAGGAGCTTGTGGAGGGCACCAGCAGCCTGGAGGAGGATACGTCCCTTCCCGAGGGGCTGGAGGGCTGGAACCAGGGACTGGAGGAGGGGAGCATGGAGCAGCGCTTGCAGGGGAGCCCTGTGTAGCCTCTGTGGGGCAGCCGCCTGCACCCTGAGCCTTTGCAGAGCAGCTGCCAGAATCACCGGAAAACAAATTAAAACGTGATCATCACAAACAGGCCTTTCAGATAAGGGTGCTCTGAACCCTTAGAGAAGAGCACTGGGAGCTGGCAGCAACCAGCCAGAGAGGGAGCAGAGGAGGTGCCCCGAGTCCCTGCACCCTGTTCCTAGAGGACAGTTGGGTCCTGGGTCCGAGGGCAGAGGAAGCCAGGCTCACCCATGAGGAGCTAAGGGTAGGGCGCGTGTCTTCCTGGAGCCCTGTGTGCAGGAGCCTGCAAGGGGCTCTGGACCCTCAGGATCCTCACATCAGGCACTTTCAGTGGAGACAGGACCTCAGGCTTTCCTGGGGAGCCTGCTCTTGTGGAGAGGGACTGATGTGGGTTGTCTTAAAATTGCTCAAACACAGAAGCCCTCAGGGTTTGAGGGGGTAGAATTAAGAGAAGGAAATGAAAGCTGATTATCAAGGGAAAGTCGGGTTTAAGTAGCTGCTGGGACTGGGGGAAGGCTGAGCAGTCCTGGTGAGGGAGGACGAGTCTGAGGGAAACGCCATTCCCTCAGCAGGACCTGGTGCCTATGCTTGGAGTGGGGCTGTTGCTGACCAGGGCATGTCTGGATCTAATTCATCCCCTAGTAAGCTTCTGTTCCCTGCGGCCTCTTTTTGTTGGACTCAGGGAAAGGAGGGTCTGCAGGGCCCTGGCAGCTTTGTTTGTGGAGAGGCCATTGCTCTCAGGTCTTGGGACAGCCTCCTATGGCCCTGGCACCTGTTTAACTCTCTGCCTGGTATTGGGAAGCTCTTGGTAGGAGGAGGCCAGGCCTGGGTTGTGAGCTCTGGGCCTTTTTGATGGTTGGACTGAGAGAGGCTCAGCTTTTTCTTGTTGGTCCTGGGATGTGATGAGGGCCCAGTGCTATGGGATTCAGTGAAAATGTCCCTGTGTGCTTTCTCCAGCATGCGAGCCTATATGCAGGGCTCACTGGAATCCCAGCAGTGACAGACTGTGAGCAGTCAGTGGTGTTAGCTGCCCCCTTCAGGTGGGTGGGCGGCTGGGAGTCTGGGTCATCTGGGATAGCTCGTGACCCCAGGAGACCCCCTGTGCTCACCCTCCACATGTCCAAGCCCAGATGCTTGGACTTTGTTGTACATCTTACAAATCGTTGTTTGCCTCAAAAATAGAACTTCCAACTGGGGACAGGCACTTCCAACTTTTGCTGTTTGTAAAATGTACATTATTGAATTCCTAAAATCTCCAGGACTTAGCCTGTACCGTGGCCTCCACCAAACCTAGATTAGCCGGGGGTCCTGTCGGGCCCAGTTTTGAGGTTCCCTCTAATGGAGGTGGGGGTGCTCCCTCAACCCCAGCAGTCCCTGTGACATTGAAGCATCTGTGGTGGGGCCTCCCGGAGCATGGTGCTGTCACAGGGTCTCGGGAGGTTGCTGACCTGGCGCACCTGTGGGGCTGGCTCTGGTGGTGACTGGCTCAGCCCATGGTTTCCACCAGCATACCTGGGAGAGCCTGGGGTCTGTCACTGGTGAGGCTAGAATGGCCATCAGCCACTGGACACGGCCTTACCTCTCGAGGCTGTGCTGAGCAGCCGTCTCCTCAGCACCCCCTTCCCTTACCAGCCCCTGCGTGTGGTCCTCACAAGCCGCTCTTGACAAAGTGGGACCAGCCTCGTGCCGGCGAGTCCTGTTCTCCACTCTTCCTGTCCTCCCAAGTGCCCCTCGAGTGAGTTTGCCTCTCAGTGGCTGTCAGTGGATGGCTGGCATCACTGCCAGCCCCTGAGACATGCCAGTTGGGCTGAGCCAAATGCATGCTGCTTGTGGGTGCTGCTCCATCGGCGGCAGAAACCTCACACTCTGGCCCTCAGCGCGCCTGTGGCTCCTGGGCCCTGGAGCTCTGGTCATGGCTCTCTGGCAGAGTGATCTAACTGCCTCCTCCAGCCTGGGCCCCCTTTGTGGGCACATGTATGGCAGGATTTTCACTTGCTTATGGTTCCTTTTGTCGTATTAGGGACTAGAAATCCAGGGCACTTGTACCTGAAATGTGACCTAGGTAAGCACGGCCTGGAGTGCAGCCCAGCGGGCCCTGCATCCCGGTGTCAGCCAGAAAGGAAGAGACACGTCAGGCCTTAAAATGGGGGTGACGCTTTAATCCCACGCTTTGTAATTGAGCTCGGTGGAGGCTGCAGCAGGAAGGGTGGAAAATGGGGGGAAGACCCTGCTGGGTGGGAGTGTGGCCAGCGGCGGCTGGTTTTTTATAGGATCAAAGGAGAAAACTGGTTCTGTTCATTGGAAGCCAAGGACGGTTTTCATCTCAGGAGACCTGGCTGGGGTGGGAACTGGACTTGCCAGTGGGAGGCGGTTGGGGGTGGGGTGCTCAGCATTGGGAGCCGCAGCCCAGGGCCTGCCCCAGGCATCTGTCCAGGGGAGTCTGATGAAAATGAAGATCAAGAGCTTGTTTTTCTTCCCCAGAAACATGTTAGTGGGGAACAGGGCAGGGCAGGTTGCCTTGGGGAGAGAAAGCTTCAGCTTTTAAGACCTTTCTTGGACTTGGTGTCAGACAAGGAGACTATTCTGTGTCCTTTAGCACATAAAAAGCAGCACTGGGAGCCACTCAGCTGGGTGCCCTCTACGCGCCCCACCCCTGGCTGTGCCCAGGATAGACCTGCAGAGTGCGCCTGACAGGGCCATGCAGCTGGGTGGTGGGATATTGAGAGCAGACCCTGCCCCCATGCAGTCCAGGAGGTTCCAAGATGTCTGGGGATGTTTGGTGTCCTCATCTCTCAGTCATCACTGGCAGGGGCCAAGAGAAACAGCCTTACGGGTGGGCAGAGGGAGGGGACCCTTGTGCTGACAGTACCTCCCTGGGGCGGAGGAAGGGGGCAGGACTGAAGTCAAGGGGGAAATTTTGGGGACAGACTTCCACCCAGGTGCTTGGCTGGACAGCAGAGCGTCCCGTGAGCCACCACTAAACCCACCTGCAGCTTCCAAGCTCGGTGGCAGGAACACTGGGATTGGAGAGCCCCCACCGCCCCCTGGTATTCTTGGAGCAGATCTTCTCACCCTGAGCCTGCTAAGGAGTCTTATGACAGACGAGCGCATGGGTCCTACAGACAGAAGTTTCCAGGAGGCCCAGGCCACCCCTTGTTTCATCCAGGGGCAGTGACTCCACGGTGCTGCCATCCCTGATTCAGGATCAGAAGCAAGCTGGACGTAAGGCCACTGGGCTGTGCTTGTGCCGGGGGTGTCAGAGGTGCATGGCCAGGCCTGACGTGTCTCCCAGGGAAGCCACTGGTTCCTGTGGGGCTGAGGCCTGTACCCTGCAGGCGTGGTGGCCCCCAGGCCAGCAGGAGGTGATGGCTGCAGCCACATGGGGAGGGTGGAGTGTGTCCATGCTGCCAAGGCTGCCTGCATTTATCATCATGGTGATGTCCTGTCCCCAGCCCTGCAGCGGCTTGGGGGCAGTGGAGACAGCCTAGTCCTCCTTGGGCCCCTCCACAGTGAGAAACATGTCCACGGTTGTGGCCTGCCGCTCAGGCTCACCCAGGGGCTGCTTCTCGCGGTTCTGCTCAGCCCTTGTCCTCGTCCAGGCAGGCGAGCACAGGCAGCCGGCCCGGGGCAGTGGGTGCATCCCTGGCGAGGACATGGGAAGTGGAATCTAGCAAGGCCAGTGACCTGGAGTGGACACGCTGTGACCTGGGCATGTTACTCCTGCTGAGGCATCTGCTGTGATAGCCCCTGTGCCTGCCTCTCACATGGGCAGCACAAAACGCAGAGCTGACCCCACAGAAACGCAGACTGGTGGGTCTGCTTGGTCCCTGGCAGGGGCTTCCTGATGCCCCCAGCATCACTGTGCACCTGCTTGAGCTTTGCCTCCTCCAGGTGTGAACCTGACTCTGGCCCCTCCTGCTTGGTCTGCATTGACCCAGGTGGGACCTCCCCAGAGCCCTGCAGCCCTCACTGACCCTCTGCCTGTCAGGAGTCTTCAGTCTGTCTGTAGGGTGTGGGGGACTCAGACCCCAGCCCCACCTCCCCAGACAGCAGCCACGGCCCCTCAACATGCCCGGCTACCTTGGGGGTCAAAGGCCGATGATTGCTTGGGAACCACAGGGAAAACCAAGTCAATGAGCTGAGGAGGAGCCCAGGCTTGTGGGTCCCCACCCTCGCCTTTGTGTGTAGCCCAGCTCATAATTAAAACATTTAGTAAATTCTGCTTTCAATGGGATAAGTGGCCTTGTGGCAGGAGGACAAACGTGTAAAATGCAGATGGTGACAAACACTAGAACACCCGTCTGAGATGGAATTATTTCTAAAAATGGATTTGGGGAGCAGCAGCCCGGGACTTCCCAGCCCCTCACCCCAGACCCAGCCTCACCTGCTGGGGATTCGCTGTTCAGGTTCTCGTCATCTGAGTCAGCAAAGACCTCGGCCAGCTCCTGGTCCGACATGTCAGTCAGCTCGGTGAGGTCCAGGAGGTCAAAGTGCACCTCCAGAGAGGAGACGCTGCTCAGTGGCTCTGGGGGCCAAGGGACACAGTCACCCCCACAGCCCCATCCCAGCGAGGGTGCTCAGAGCCCAAGGGCCTGAGAAGGTCAATGCTGCTGCCTCCCACAAGATGGTGGACAAACCTGTACTTTTTGTAAAGGCCCACAGCATCCAGATAAGATTGGGGCAAACCCAGACCCCAGGGCATCTGCACACTAGAGAGAGCTTCCGAGGCCCTCCACTTCCCAGACGGTGCAGCCGAGGGCCCAGCGCCAAGGCTGTGAGGCCTCGGCCCTGGACCCCACCCTCACGCAGTGTGCACCCTGGGGCAGGTGGCGATACTTACGCCGCCTCTCTGTGACCTGCAGGAGCCCAGGTGCCGGTATTGGGATGCCCACCTCCTCTTCGGCCACAGGCGTGCAGCAGCTGCCACCTGTCCCGTGGGCTGGGACACCCAGAGCAGCCTGTGGCACCTCAGCTTCTTTCACGATCTCTGTGTCAGAAGACAGACATTACCTCGCAACGGGCTCCCACCTCCCCACCTAGGTCTCAGGGTCGGGGAACTAGAGCACTGGGCACATCAAACCGTCATTTGAGGCTCTGGGTAATGATTGGGCAGTGCCTGGGGTTGCAGCCATGCCAGGACCTGTCGGGGCAGTGATGACTCGGGTTTCCCAGCCTAGCCTTTCTGGTTCCCTTTAATCCAGAACAGCCCCCGTGCTCCCCTCTCCTCTGTGGACTGATGTTTCCTTGTAGAAACCTGTGTGGTTGTACTGAACTCAGAACCACACATTCTCACAGCAGAAGGCAGGTAGAGACGGGCAGCTGCTCTGCTAGTCTACAATACCTTCGCCCCAGTCACACCTCACAACTGGGCGGATGTCCTTCCAGGTTTTTTCAATGCAATTTTATTTTTCAAAAGTGTAATTGCTTATTTCATGTTTAACAACTCTTCTGTCAGAGCAGGAAGCCCCTTGGGGGTCTGCTTGGTGGAGACTGAGCCCCTCGGAGGTGGGGCCAGCTGCCTCCAGAGGCACTGACCACACCATTGGTTGCTCAGACCCAAGGCTTGAGGGTCATTCTGAACTCCTGTTCTTTCCATCCTTCCATCCACACACCCTTCAGAATGTTCCAGAGCCCTCCATCTACTGCCCCTTATCCCTGGGGCCTCTTCCACCTGCCCTGCTCTTGCCAGGGGGTCCTGTCAGCCAGAGTTGAGCACATCTGCTTAGTGCATGGCCCCTTGGCCCCTGGGCCCCTGGGCCCCGTGGCTCCATCTCACTTAGGGAAGAGACAAGCATCCACCTTCCCGTCCCCTTCCCACCTGTCCTTCCACCTGCCCTGCTCTTGCCAGGGGGTCCTGTCAGCCAGAGTTGAGCACATCTGCTTAGTGTATGGCCCCTTGGCCCCTTGGCCCCTGGGCCCCTGGGCCCCATGGCTCCATCTCACTTAGGGAAGAGACAAGCATCCACCTTCCCGTCCCCTTCCCACCTGTCCCTTGTCCCCACTGTGGCGCCACTGCTGGCCTTCCTCCCGGGAGGCCCTTCCCAGGTACCCCAACTTCTCTTGGCTCGTTCCTAGACCTTTCACTGGAGGGGCCTTCCTGGCCTGCCTGCCCCCCTAGCACTCACTGTATACATATGGGATGAATGGGTGCCTTGCGAGTACCGCATGGGGTCTCTGGCAGCACTGGCTGAACATGGGAGCTGCCGGGGAGTGATAAGGTAAGCAGGGGCAGCTGCTGCCCTGAGTGTTGCACTGGGGCATGTCTGGGGCTCCCAGCAATGACAGCTGCCTGCAGGGGTCGGCCTGTCCTCCTGATGTTAAATGTAACAACTCTGGTTGCTGCCACGTGGGACAGGATCTGGAGATGCCCACCCCTCCCCAGCTGAGCTGAGGCAGGAGTACTGAGGAGTACAGCTGTGGACAGGTGGCCTGACCTCTTCTCGGGTCTGGGGGATGGTCAGGCTGGGCGGGGCACAGGGGATCTGGTTTCCACCTCTAGCGGTTTTTGGAATGCAGTTTTCTGAGCCTCCTTGGAGGGTAAAGTTACACCCACTGGTATTCTGGCTCACCCCTAGCCCCTCAAGGACAGCTTCCTGCCCAGAGGACACAGCAGAAGAGGCCTAGATTCTGCTCCGAGCGGGCAACCAGAGAGCCCTGAGTCCACAGGGGTGTGGGTGACATTTCCCAAGGGGGTGTGCAGCCGGCGGCCCCATGCTCCTCCCTGAGGGTACGAGTGTGTCACTTGAGTGTGCTCATGACCACTGGCCTGTGTCATGATCATAATTCCAAAATGCTTCCACACAGCTCAGAGTGTGCCCAGGGCTGTGGTGTGGCTGTGTGGCTCTCTTGGGCTGGGCAGCCCAGGAAGGTGCTGGCCTCTGTCTGGGGCGTCCATACCAGCTGCAGGTGAGGCTGGGGCCTCAGACCCGCTGGGTCCAGAGTGAGCAGGTGCTGCCCAGGCTCGGCTAGCCCAGAGCCCCGAGGGAGGTGCAGAGGGTGTAAGGACCTTCCAGGAAGCCGTGCTCTAAGCCACAGGGACACTCCCCAGGCTAGGCAGGGCCCCACATAGAGCCTCCACCCCAGAGCAGGAGGACCCTGGCCCTTGACTCCACCTTTCTGACAGCCCCCAAAATCAAGGAAACGCGGGGAGAAAGCAGCTCTGCAGAGGCCTGGGGAGGTGGCTCGAGATTAATGACAGTGGCTCGTGGTTTTCTGGTTCACGCTGCCGCGGGGAGAAAGCAGCTCTGCAGAGACCTGGGGAGGTGGAGGCCTGGGGAGGTGGCTCGAGATTAATGACAGTGGCTCGTGGTTTTCTGGTTCACGCTGCCAGGCATGGTCCCAGCATTCCCTTCCTCACCTAACCCCAGCTTCCAGCTACTGGGAGAGGACAGTATAACATACTGGGTTTTATACTTTGGAGATGAGGAAACTGAGGCACAGAGTGGCTCACACCTGTCCTGGACATGCAGTGGCCTCTGATCTGGGTCATGGCATGGGGCTGGTGGCAGGGGACCACAGTTCAGCCAGCAGAGAGAGAACACGTGACTCTGGTTTTAAGTTTCCCTGGGCCCTGACCCATGGGGAAGTGGATTTCTGAAAGAAGGTGGGGTGGAAGTGGGGTCTCACTGGTTCATTCATCCATCCCTCTAATAAAGATGGCCCAAGTGCCCACCCTGTTCTGGGGACATGCATGGACAAAACATGATTCCTGCCCTTGGAGGGGCAAATGGTACCAGGGGAGCAGCAGGGCTGTTCTCTCATTTTAGGGGGTCGGGAGGACTCTACTGAGACACGGAAGAGGAGTCTGAAGGTGGGGGAGCTGTGTGATACCTGGGGGAGCCATGGCACTGGAATAGCACATGCAAAGGTCCTGAGGGAAGTGTGGCTGCACATCTGAAGGACAAGCGGGGGTGGTGGGGGCCCGGGCGGGGTGTGTGTGCAGGTCATGCGGATGCTGTTTGGAGAGTGGCTTCTACTTTAAGTGAGCCTGAAGAAGCCACAGAAGGGCTTGAGCTGAGTGGGGCGGCTTCCACCTGCACTTAAGGGTGAGGCCAGTGAGGACACGGTCCAGGTGGGAGAGAAGGCTGCAGGCACCGCCCCCTCCGTCCTCCACACATGCTGGCTCCTTCTGCTTGTGCTGAGACGGGGGCCCCAGCAGGATCTCAGCCAAACAGCAAGCTTGTTCTCCACCTTACATTGGGGAGGGTGGCTGGGAATGCCACCATTCCCCATTGTAGGTCCTGGGATCACAAGGGGCCTCAGACAGCCCCTGGGACCAAACTCGAGCCCCACAGGCACAGCACCCTGGTCATATTGGCCCTAAGAAGCTTATCTTCTCATATATGAACACCCCTGAAAGAGCAATGCATCTGCAGTCGACGGTGTCTTGGAGTTGATGGGATTTGGTCCCCTGAACTTTTGATGTCGCCAGGTATTTAGCTTAGATTCTTTTCTGCCTTCCTTTGGCAGTGGTCTGGTCTGTATTCTGTAAATTCTGGTGCCCTCGCCTGTGTCACAGCTGTGGGGGAGGAACCGTACAAGATACAATTTTTGCCAGCAAAAGAACACTAAGCTTTTGGTTGGAAGAATGTGATGGAAATAAGTGGCTGAGTCAAAATGCCAGGGACAGATGAGGCCTGAGCTCCCAGGAGGAGCAAGATTGATCTAGGCCACCATGGAAGACAGTCCAGCAGTTCCTCAAATGATCACACATGGAGTTACCACGTGACCTGTCAGTTCTACTGCTAGGTGTATACCCAAGATAAATGACCACACACGTCCACACACAGACTCACATGTGAGTGTTCACAGCAGCACGATTCACCGTAGCCCAAAGTGGGTTAATGAAATGTGGCCCACATGCAATGGGGTACCATTCAGCCATGAAAAGGGATGAAGGCCTGACACGCTGTAGTGAGGATGAACCTTGGCAACACTGTGGTGAGTGCAAGAAGCCAGTCACAAAAGGCCACATATTACATGATTCCATCATGAGGGATGTCCAGAACAGGAAAATCCATAGAGAGTAGATCAGTGATTGCCAGAGACTATGGGGTGGGGTGGGGGTGATGAAAATATTGTAAAATTACGTAGTGGTGATGACTCTACAACTTTGTGAACATACTGAAAATACTGAATTGTATACTTTACAAGTGTGAATTTTTGATATGTGAATTATATCTCAATTAAAAAACAATCCTCAGTGGAAACAAACAAAGGTTGCTCTTGGCTGGAGTGGATGGCAAAGCTGGGGCACGAACGACTCTCGTCTGCTGTCGAGGAGGCTGGGATTGGGATGAGCAGTGTGGCTCCCAGCAGCTCCGCCTGGCCCATCACTGTGTGCTAGGGCCTATGCTTGGTAGGTGCACAATAAATGCTTCTTAAACGAATGAGCCCAAGACCCCACAGTTAGTCAGTAGCAGTGCTGGGAATCAACAAGGTCTGTCTGACACCCTCTTAACAGGCTCTTGTGGGAGGAAGGGGCAGTTCCCCACAGCGAGACCTGCTGCTCCTCACAGGGTGGGAAGCAGGCAGGAGCGGGCAGCCTGGCTCAGCCACGGGTGGGGTGGGCTCAGCAGCCCCTGGGGCCGCCAGGACAGAGTCAAGCCCCAAGAAGGGTCCCAGGGTGTGGGGTCACAGCAATGTGGTGTTCTCAACCTGACATAGCCTCTGTCAAGCGGGGGAGACCTCAGCTCCCTGTGGGGGCTGCTGCTGCCTTGACCTGTGGGTGGGCACTGAGGCAGCACCCCCGAAGGGAGACTGGAGTTGGGTGCTACAGTTCTGCCCCGCCAGGCTTCCCAAGGGCTGATTGCTGATACCTTGTGCTATGCTTCTGACCTATTTTCCAGCACATTCGTGACTGGAAAACTTAGCCTAAATCTCATGTTCCCTGCTGTGCCCCCAGGGCCATACCCAGACACCGCTGCACAAATGAGCAAATTAATGAAGTGAATGAGTGAATACATAAAAAACAAAATGGCCGCAGAGAGGGAGAGATGTT